ATAGAACACGAATGGTCAATTGTTTCAAGTTCCTCTTGGTGGAAAGACATAATTAAAAGTACAAACACACTTGCTAAATCATCTGTAGGATCAGCAATTGTAAATATTTTATTTCATCCATTTATTATTGTTGTATGTGTATCTATAATATGTATTGTTTTACAAGTAATTATGCAATGTAGAATTAGAAAACTGTATATACTCATAAATGAAAAGGTTAAACAGAAGGAGAATACACTAAAGGAAACTGTAAACAGGGTAATACACAATACTTCCAAGGAATCTCAGATACCGGGTAGCTATGAACACATCTCTTCTTATACCCAACGACTGTGATATAAAATGTGATACGAATGATGTATGAATGGACAGGTAAATAACATTATTATGGTTTATAAATAAACCATAAACAGAGGGAAATGTAGAATATTGCATATTCTGTATGTTCCTATTCAAATACATATTAAGGTGTGGCTGTCTAATGGGTTAAACAGAACAGATGGTGTTTGCTACTCTGTAATATGAGGTCTCTGGAATTTGCTGTATAAGAGATTTGAGGCGGTCTTTATATAGGGAACTTCCTTATATGGCAGGGTCTAAACTAAACATTATGACGTAATTTGGGGTATATAGAGTCAAGGACAAAGGATTACGGGCTCTTCCTGCTACGATCCGTTTGCTCTCCTCTCTGATGTCAAGACGACTCTCTGTAACATCATTAAGAATTACCATCTGTTAAGTATATATAACTGTTTCCTGCTGAATGTAGAATAAATACTCATTTTTTATAAAGAACGTCAGATTGCGTATTACTAATTTTCAATAATATAGACATATATTATTGTGGCGAGCATTTGGCCCAAGACTATATATACAAAAGACGTATATATATCAATCAACTGAAGATAAGAAGAAATATCTATATATATATATATACATAAAAGACTTATTCAACTAAAGAAATACACAGCCAGTTATTACAGCACTTTGTGAAAATTGTGGAAGTGCCTACCACTTTTTATGATATTTTAGAATTCTATGAACCTACACCCTCCCTAGCCTCTAATCAAAACTGGTATAGCGCCTTAATTTCTGCCTCTTACCCTATGTGGTGTTTTTTAACCTTGCTATTTTAAAGGGCTTTTTCAAGCACCATGACCACTGCAGCACAATATAATGGTTATAGTGTCTGGAGTCCCCTGAAAGTAATTGAAGTGGTCTGGGTGCAGTGTCCCAGGCCCCTTAAGATATGCATATAAAATTATGGTAAGCGCTCAAATCAAATATGGGTAATTGTATAATAAAGAAGTGCCAGGTGCTCTAAGGGAAAATCTGATCCCCCACCAGATCCATAAACTTAGCAGAAAATAACCCCAAACACATCAGAAAAAATTGACATATAAAATGTTTTTATTTATACAGTGGATATGTATAGATTGTATAAAGAAAGTGCAGGTAACAGTACAAGCATGTAAACATCAAATAAACACTATACATGCAGTAGTAAGTGCTCAAAATAGAAACCCATAAATACATAACAAATCAGGCATACTGACCTAAGAGCAGGA